TTTTTTTTTTTGTGCTTACTGTTTGGAAAGGGTCTTGTATTTTTGCCTACATGCGATAGAGGACCTCTTTGTGCAACCAGGTTGACACGCAGTAGACCCTTGGAGTCCACAGGTTTATGGTTCCAAGGAGACTGCCTTTGGAGGAAACCCTGGCATGCTCAGGACGCAGTTTGCATACGACGAGGCTAACGTGGGGCTTACAGTTCTTCTCTGCACCACCTGAGCTGAGTGATGCCCACACTGCAGTCTTTTACATCATGTTCCATCAAACCGTGTACAATATATCCCTGCATAAGGGGATTTATTTAACGTGTACCATTCTTGGGACTATTAAGAAAATAGTCATTCAGATAGTTTTGGGGTTCTGTGGCTGAGTTCCCAAAGACAGCTCTATTGCTGTTTGCAAATCAACTAAGTGATTTGGTTACAACAGTAACCCGCTTCCAGAACCCAGTTATGTATCAGGAAAGAAAACTAATTATGGTGTAGTATCAAGTCATCCCCAAACCTCACCATAAGGGTTATCCTTGCACCTGTAACACAAGTTGCCAAGGGACCTCTCCTCCACATAGTCACTCAGGGTCAAGGCTGATGGGATATGCATTTCAACACTGGATTCCTTGATCACCATGAAGGGGGTGTGGGATGGGGACTGGGATGGACACAGGATACAGTGAACTGTACACTGGCTCTTAAAGCCAGTTGATTGATGTGTCACTTCCACTAATGTTTCATTGGCAAAACTAGTCACATGGCCAAGTCTCATTTCAGAAGTGGAGGGGAAGTACATTCTATGCGTTGTGTCCAGTAAAAAGGATTGGAGGATATGAGAACAGCCTGCGGGCTAGAACCTGAGATTCTGTAGCATCCATCCTGGGCAAAGCTGTGCACTAACGTTACAGAGATGGCTGGGCCAAGAGCTTCTAGGTTTTCCATTTGTCTACCATCTCTCTGTTCCCAGTGAGCTTCAGCTCTACGCCCTCCATCCCAAGATTTTTTTGGTCAAACCTTTTTATTATTTTTTATTAAAAAGATGAAGTCAATATACATATATACAGAAAACACACAAATTACAAGTACACAATGTAATGAATGATCACAAAGTGAACGTAGCAGTGTAACTGGCTGCCAAAGGAATGGGGCTAGTTACCAGGGACTCTGCAACCCATCTTGGCTCCTTCTCAGGCCCTTTCTAGTCATCGGTTACCCCCCACCCCCGCCATGGCAATCCTCTCCCGACTTCCATCATCACACTTCAGTTATTCCTTTACACCCATTCATTCAACTTGTATTTACCAGCCAGGAACAAGAACTTCCGAATCCTGGCAGATGGTGTTATAAATCCAAGCACAAAAAGAAGATTCCATCAAGCTTCCTGTCAAGAGACTGGGTTTTCTGGAGGTGACAGTATTTTGGGCAGGGTTGAGGGTGGGTGAGTTCTCTGAACTCTCAAGGATTCAACCGAATTAGTGACTATTGTCCTTATTACCTATTTGTTTATACCCATCTCTATTTCTTAACAGAGCAGGTGGGACCACAGGCAGAATTTCTTTGCTGCCTGACACATGAGGGATAAATCTGCCCCACCCCCTCTCTGCTGACACTTGGTCTACATAGCATGGAGCTACCTGATACCACCGACGGAGATGGACTGTGAAGCAGCAGCACCTGACTCTCCAAGGCTTAGGTGAGGTTGCTGGCTCTAGGGCTGGGTAAACTGGTTCCTTCTGGGCTGGGGAATGGGGAACCAGTGTCACAGTTATTTTGTCTTAAATAAAGGATTGGCATTGGAGGAACAGGCATATTGCCTGTGAAGTTTCCCTCATCTGAAAATTGGGGATATGCCTCCATTCCTCTTGGCCATTAAATCATGAAAGGAGAGGCACTGGACAGATGGACTCCTAAAAGGCCAGTTCCTCCCACAATGTCCTCTAAGTCACACATTTCTGTACAGGAACGCACCCTCCAAATGGCAATTTGCTTTCCAGTCTCTCAGCAGAATCTTTGCCCAAATTCAGGATAGGTATCTCAAGAACACCATGACAAGCTGTGACTCCAGAAAGCTGACTGGTACTGTCCAATTCCACCCCAAAGGAAACAGCCAGGGCTTCAGTGAGAGGGCGTGGAGCACATGCAGATCTGGAACACAGCGGCCAAGGGTTCAGCCACATCCTTTTGCGGTAATAATCTTCAACAAAACATGCTTGAAATATATTTCTATAATCAGCTGGCTCTAAATTATAGCCATGCTGAATAAGAGCAGAGGGACATGATTAGGAATTTCCTTCTGTAGAAAGTAGAATGCAATAGTTTCTGGCTAAGGTTCAGTGCTTTTTAAAAAATGCTTTTGGTAAAAAAGAAAATGGAAAATTTATTATTATTATTCCAGTCAAAGCAATGGTTCATGGCCTTCTTCCTGAGCAGGAACAGCTCAGCTCTGTGAGGAAGTGAGAAAGGAGATTAAGTTGGGAAAACAGACCAAGAGCTGCCTGTCTGCTCAGCTGCTGTCATATAGGCACTGAGCTGTCTCCTCCCCCCGCCGCCCCACATCCCCGTAGCCATGGCTCCTGGCTCTCTAGAAACGACTATCCCAGGAGATGAAGAAATGTGGACAAAGAGCTCACAAAGGCTACATAGTGGCTCCATCTATGGAAGAGATGGGCTCCTGACACATCAAAGGTAACCAGTGCTTCTTGTTTTGATTCAGCTTTCACTTGTTTGGAAAAGAACCTGTGTAGGTTACCTCATAATTTGGCTTTTTTTTTTTTTTCTTTTCAGTACTGGGGTTTGAACTCAGGACCTCACACTTGCTAGGCAGGAGCTATTACTTGAGCCACTCTGCCAGCCCCTCTAGTCTCATAATTTGGGAGTAACAAATTCTCAGTGTGGACCTAAGGCCACATCAAGAACTACCTGGGATGCTTGCTAAGGAAGCAGTTTCTCAGACCCAAAGAATCAGAATCTCAGGGAGCTGGAACATGCATTTCCCACCAGCCCCTTCAGGAAACTCTTACCAGTGCTGGGAAGGGAATGCTTCACAAAAGTACCAGAAAAACAAAGTGATTCATTTGCAGCAGGCTCCCCCGCCCCCAAAAGGACCCATCAGGATGTAAGGAAAGGTTATTGGTTAGTTGCTAATTATTTCCTCTGAGGGAACGATGGTAGTTTTCTTTCCATCTATACAGGTTATCTGTAGTATTCAGTATTACAAAGTCAGGAACAAAATTATTCTGAGTATTAACAACTTACAGGAAAAGGATCAATATTTCATGTATTTGTGGACTCTGCTAGTTGGCATGTCCCTGGTAAACTTCTCCAGAAGCAAAATACTTCCCCATGGTGAGGTTTGATTACCACTTTGGTCATAGGCAATAGGACAAATTGTCACTTTTACTTTCTTAACATCAAAGTCTCAAAGTTCCTGCCACAACATTCCCGTTGTCTTGGGGTGAATTCTAGACTTAAGCTGCTCCACTTCCAATTTTCTGGAAAATTGGCTGTCACCAAAAGGTTTGGCTTCCTCTTGGGCCAGCAAATAAAAGCAAGAGCCCTCAACCCTAGGCTGTCCTCACTTGGGGGCCTTGTGAAAGCCTCCTTTCACAAATCCTTTTGTGGAGCTGTCCTCCATAAGTCACAGCTGCACCAATGGGGATAATCAGGCTTGTGTGTACAGTGTGTCAAGAGCCCAAGATAAAAAAGCATTCAAAGCGTGCAGTGTTATGAGAGCAAACAAGGTCCAGGCCAGTGTAGCCTTACCCAGAGGTTAGATACACATTGTATAAGACTTCACGCAAGATGAAACAAGTACTCATTCTCTTTTTCAAAACTGAGCACCAAAAATCTGAAAAGCAGGGTGCAGAAAGCAAGGATTCGTGGTTTTCATGCATTTTCAATTTTTTTCAGTTTTTTTTTTGTTTTTTGTTTTTCAGTGCTGGCAATTAAACCCAGGGCCTTGCATATCCTAGGCAAGTGCTCTATCACTGAACTACACTCCTGCACTTGTAATAAACATGCCTTTCCTTTCTCAGATGGAACAACGAGAATCCCCAGGACAACAAGCCACTCGAGAGATAGCCCTCTTTGCTCCAAAGGCATTTTGAGCCATTAAGCAGCAGGCAAAACAGAGACACTTCCCCTCACACACTGTTTTGCTCTTCTTTAATTTATTTTGGATGTATAGGAACTTGGGGCTTGAATAACTACCTGAACCAAAATATAGCCCTAATTCCAGAGCTAGCAAATCTGTCCTGGGAGGGCAAGAGCAGTTTAGGGGTCCCAGTTGCCGTGATCTCACTCTCACAGTTCACAGAAGAGATGGCATTTCTGTCCCAGAGGCCCCAAGCCTGCCTGATTCACCAGCACTGTTTAACAGCCCCCTCCCCTCTACCACTCAGTCTCTTCACTAAAAGATGCAGAGTTTCTAAAAAGTCTGCCCAGCTTCATCTCTCCTTTCTTGTCACTGGTAATTGTACCCAAAATTAGGGTCAGGGATTAGGTGCTTATGCACCTAAGAAGAATCAACTCAGAGGCTCCCTGGAAGTTACCTAACTGTTGAGCTGTGTCTAATAAGGTCTTAAATTTTAGCTTTGTGACAGGCGACCTAAGGACATGGAACTTGTGTCACCAGTCATGTGCTCTTAGAAGACCTGCCTCCTCAGAGCCTGAGACCAGCAGACCCTGCATTTGTCATCTGTCAGCGCTTGCTCCCAATGCTGTAACTCAGTAAAACCAGGCAGACACCTGTCAGCAATGAAGCAGGGACAAGCAAAAGAGCTTAATGAAATTTTATTTTGAAAATATGGCAAGAGTCTAAGGCACTTCAGACATTTAAATACAGACAGGACCAGAGTAAATGTGACATGGTATAAAGGAATCCATAAAGAACTACGCTGCTTCTCTAGTGGCAAGTGGACAGCCAGTTCCTCTAACACAACTCAACCTTTATTAGATGCAGACAGGGTTGTGCAATTGTTAAAAATGTGGTCATGTTATATATAATTGAAAATTCTCTGTCAATTTCATAGATATCATTTATATAAAAAGCCATATCATACATCCACCTGATGTATGAAAACATTTCCTTTTTAAGTTTATATGGTATGAGGGTTCCATCTTCTATTTTTAAACCAGAAACTATCAGCCTAGGGCCCAGGTTGCAGATGACCAAAGTCATCTCAACCTTCTTACTTTTAAAATAAAAAAGACAAAAATTAACAATCATCACGGAATGGAATTTTGGAAGAGCTTTCCAATGGTTCCATAGTTAGTAAGTATAAATATTTGTGTGAATTTAAAAAATATCCCGCCAAGGAGAACCTGACACCACTTTGTGTTGTAGGATGAAGGGGAGAAGAAAGAAGTTGCCCTTTCAGGTTGGGTTACCATTTCCTACCACTGTACATAACGGAGCAGACTCAGCAGCCACAGAGACAGGTTCAAATGAGCCCTACTCAGAGGAGTCCTGCAGACCCAGGTTGGCAGTCTCCCCCCTTCCCTTACAAAGGCGTCAGCCTTAAGTCCAGGCCCTTATGCTGCTGTGGGCTAGTGAGCTCAGACATGGTCCATATACATTCAGTATCTGTCACCCCAACAGGAACAATTAGCAGCTTATGGGCATGTAACTGGAGGGCTGTTTGCATATATCAATCAAATGAACCTCGGTGGGTGGGACTAGGAGATGTCTTCCTTCCAAGCCGAGGGGTACCCTAGAGACCAGGAAAGGGAAAAAAAGAATGGAGTTAGTAAGTGACCTGAAGCAGATATGTCCCCCGTGTCATTGGAATTTGGTAAGCCACAGCCAGGAGAGCTGTGGCTGAGAAGTGGGGATAGATGACCTCTAGCAGCAGGCACTGCTCCAAGGCCAGCTGGGCTCAGTAGGCCCTGTCCAGCTGTCTGGGAAGTCAGCTTCCCTGTTGGCCTTAGGAGCACTGCCAGGAATAGTGACATGTATCTATGGGCTCAGCCTGTGCCATTTAGATAATTATACACAGAATAAAAAGCTCTATGTGAGAGAACTGTCCCAGCTCTCCTGGCCCTTAGGGTGGGGTAGAAATGATGAATTCTTATGCTCAATACTAAACTTCCATTTTCAGAATCTATATAAAACCGACGTCTCCTGTCAATTTCCTGAGGAACAAGCCTGCCCATCTAGTGAATTTCAGCCTATTTTTGACACTGACCGGAGACTGGGCTTTTGCGAAGTTAACATGGGCATACAGAAGAACGGCGATGTCCTTGTGTCCTGCTTCCAGGGCTATCGAGAGGGCGGTGCTTCCATCCTAAAGATAAAACAAAAAGAACAATGTTAGAGTTCTCAAACTATCAGGCAGCCAAAAGGTAACAAAACCCTCTCCAGAAATTGATACGGACTCCCAAATCTAGCCTTTAGAAAATGTTTCTGGACCTCAAGTGCTGGGTCTGAGGATGCAGAGATGAGTGAGGCTGGCCTCCACCTGCAAGACACCTCTGCACCACAGTCCTCAAAAATAAAATGAGGGCTGCCCATGAACTCCAATTCAACCATCTTCCCCAACAAAAGGGGGCAGCAGGAAAAGAGGAGACAGAAGCATAATTTTCTTATAATTAAAAATGACCAGTACCATGGTGTGCGCTTGACCATTTGCCAAAGATCTCAAGTTTTTCTGGGAAGGTGCTGTGATCCTGAAGCCCTGAACACCTCTACTGAATGCTACAAAACACATCCACGTGTAAGCACTCAACCTGGTGGCTTGCATGCATTTATGTTACAGAAATACCAGGGAAACAATTACATAGGGGGAAGTATTCTCAGTGAATTGCTTGATATCCGTTAAATGGCAGAGATTTAGAAGGATAGAAAGGATCATCAAGGCAAAATGCAACATGGCTTATTTTGTGTCTACTCTTGCCATAAGGGTTCCTCTGGTTATTAGCAACAGGAAACGATTCTTATGTAGTTTGAATCTTCCAGTCCTTACCTCCCACACTGTGAATTCTGGGAGCTGCTGGCAGCTGGATATTTTCCTGCTCATTTATGGATAAGGAAGTGGACGATTAGCTGGGGTGGCCAGGATTTCTGGAAGTCCCTGTGGCTCTATGGAGTCTTATTACTAATCTACATGCTATCCTTTGCAGAAAGAGAGAAGCAAAGCAAGCAAACAACACCAAAATGCATGGAACAGACTGTTCTTGAGAAAAGGTAAGCTGGAACCTCGCTCCCCTGGGGGAGGTTAAGGGACGCTTGTGTCCCTGCAGCTCCTGTGTTTTCCTGTGGGGGGAGCTGAGGGGCAGGTGCCAGGCAGCCCTCCAGGCCAGTAAAAACTGCCACTGGTTTGCTGTTCCTACTGGCCGGGGCCCTGCTAGATCTGAAATTGATAGCCAAGAGAGATGTTTCCCTTTAACTTTTTGGAATTTTGAACTGAAGGAAGCTCTGCTTCAAACCTGTGTTCCATAGAGATAAACTTTTAAAAACAGCACCATACCAGCCTGACTTCTATGACCCTTGGTCTGGGTGCCAGTTCTGTGCTTTCTGCTTATCAGTGCTCATCCCCTGTGTCCTGGAGTCACCCAGAAACATCCCCTGCCTTGGGTTATCTGGGAACAGGGTCAGCTTGGGAACTGGGTGAAGAGATTAGAGTGATGATGACAGGAATGGACTAAGCAGAAGGGTGAAAAAGGAGCTTAAAGCAGTCAAGATATTCTGTATCTTGGTGCTTGGGAAATGTCACAAGTCATTTGTGGTGGGAAAGTGTTTTGCCCAAGGAAAAATAACTGGTTTTGGTCACAAATGACACCAGCTTCTAATAAGTAATAATAACCCGGTTTTCCAGACTTCTCAGAATTTGCCTACACTGAATTTGACTCTGTAGTAAGAGTCTGTTTATTCCCCTTTAGGATACCAGTTCTCATAGGTGCCCAGAAATCACCTTCTTCCTTTTATGAATTTTGGGGTGGGGCCTATTTAGCTTTCTGCCTTTGGTTAATGACAATATCAGTTTACATAAAATAAACGCCGCTAAGCTGGGCCGTGAAGGGAAGTGACCTGATCTACTCGCAGGCCCAGCGGAGATGCTTACATTGTCCTCCAGGTGGCCATTGCAGCCTGGCTGGGCCAGCAGCAACTTGACGATTTCCACGTGCCCATGCTCGCTGGCACACATCAGGGCGGTGGAGCCCTCGTCGTCCTGGATGTTCACGTCAGCTCCACAGGCCAGCAGGCCCTTCACCATGTCTATCCGCCCATGACTGACAGCCAGCATGAGGGCTGTCTGCCCCGCCTATGGGAAAAAATGATGGTAGACCTCAGAAAAACACAGTGAGTGTTCAGGGGGTGGCCTGTGGTGGGGGCAAGGGACAAGGAATTGGGCATGTAGTTACTTGGGGAGGGGTGGTGGCAGGCAGGGAAAAACCAGGCTAGGAGTTAAGGAAGATCATAAAGTAAGGAGTCAGTTCTTCACTGCAGCTGAGGATCTATCACTGCATAGCAAGGAGCTAGACCACTCAGAAGAGGTACAACATTAAGCTGTGAACACATCCAGATTTGGGACTCTGGATGGCATGAAGACAGGACAGCACAGAGGTGATCAACACCAGGAATATGGTGAAGACTCACAGTCCCTTAAGTGCAGGCAGGACTGCACAGTTTCTCTGCAAACTGCCAACAGAGGGAAAGCCAGACAAAGGAGGGAGAGGGCTCCAGTATGAAAGCGAAGCCTGTGTGTTGCTGTTGTGTTTGGTCAGCAAGGACTAGGGGTGAGCAGTGTGCTGCCTGTGCTGCTCCATCAGCCTGGTCACATCAGGCTTGTTTGTGACCATCAGAGCAGAGATGGCAAGCATGGGAAGCCAGGCACTCACCTGACTGGCCTTGGCGTTTACATCCCCACAGCCAAAGAGTTCCTCAACAACCCGCATGTCCTTCTCTGCCTCCACAGCCGCCAGGGCAGCCAGCATGATGGGTGTGTACCCTGCCTTGTTCTGGTGATCCACATTACACATGTCTGCAAAGGAAGGGGTCTCTTTAGGGGGAGCCATCTCCTACCAACAGCAGGTAGACATGGGAGCTGGAGGTATGGTGTTTAGAAGAACCTTCTGAAATGGCACTGAGTGCTGAGGATTGAGAGTGCCTTGGAAAATGTTTTTATGCCAAACAATTTTTCCTTGTCTCACAGCAACAAAAATGCTTGTAGCTGGTGGTAAACAGCCTGTAGGTCTGCAAGGTGGTTCTGAGTAGTGGGTGCTCTGGAGAATACCCACTCATGTGGGATCTAGATGTTCCACTGTTCAGGAACTCACTGCTCTGGGCCAAAGGATGCAGAGAGTGCTACAGATGAAAGGAATGAGCATGGATAAGCACAGAGCAATGGTGTTGCCCACTTACCAACACTTCTCAGTCCTCAGTTCTGCAGCCCTGAAGTCCCTAAAAGCAGAACCTCAGTCCCATAACCTCTAACTCTAGCCCTTGTGGTCTAAGAGCAATACTAAAGCAGTAAGGCTTCCAAGAAACTGCCAGAGCTGATGAGCCAGACCTTCTCTAGTTTGTAATGCTTAGGCAAGTCTTCAGGGAATATAATGGTGAGTGTTGGAAAGCAAGAAAAAAGGTACCATAAACTTTCCTTGGGGTCCCAAGCCACTGCATACAAGGACATGATGGCATTTACAAAAGCACATAGTGTGTGCATCTGAGGTCCTCAGGATCTGGGCCTTTCAGTCCTGCAGATGCATCCAAGAGTCATACTTTGTGGAGTCAGAAATTCAGCCCATAATGGTGAGTAATAAAAAATGAAGCAAATAAAGTGATTAACCAAAACCATCCAACAATGGAATTAATTTAACTTGCCAAGATACCTATTCTGTTGTTCCAAGGGTATATAAAATTGTTCATTTTAGGAGCACCCTTGAAATCCTGTTTTTAACTGCCCTGGATATTATCCACTTCCCTATTTTAACAGTAACTTGGGCTGACATGATCGCCAGCTCTGTTTATAGTCTGGAAAGTCTGAAGGGAAGGAGGCCTAAAATTCCTTCCTGTCAGATAGAAGCAGTTATACCCTAACATGGGCACTAAGACAGCGAATAATAACAGACTGGGGATGAAGCTCAGTAGTAGAGTGTTTGCCTAGTATGCACAAGGCCTTGAGTTTGATCCCTGGGGGTGGGAAGAGAAAACAAACTGAGAAGAGAAAATAGAATCTGTTTGGATTTTTTTTTCCTCTGCATTAACAGAGTAGATAAAAATCAGGCCATCAGATTAACAGACAGTAAAGGAAAACTAGACAGTTTCATTGCATGTACTAAATCAGATGTTGACATTGTATCCTTATGAATTAGAGTGAGTTACTGTGAATTCTGTTATTAGTCACATACCTGAAGTAAAAATAGTTACAAACATAAAAATTTGGGGACTATATGTGTGTGGTGGGCTGCTCTGCTTAAGCACAAAGTTGAAAGTTCAACTCAAGGGGACCCTTCTTTTATGTACTGCTCCCACTTCATGTACAATGTAACCCTTGACTATATTCTGGAATGGCAAATTTCCACTATTTTCATTAATATAGTTCATAGTAATATAGTAATACACTTGGATTATGCTGATTCCTCAATACCTGTAGATTTTGGCAGGAACACTGATGATTCTACCATGGTTTCACTTGGTCCCCATCTTGACTAACACTTCTGCAAGTCACTGACTGGATAGTGGTCAGTGTAGAAGGACAAACTTAGCAGTCCACACGCAGAAAAGCTGTGACTCTGGGCTGTGAGCGGCATGCTGCCACCTAGGAGCAAGCCAGCCACGCCTGCATGATTCAGCACAGGACTGACTGTGAGTCATGTTTATTAGCAGGATACACCTCACTGAATGCAGCAAGCACACCTTCAAAACCTCCTTTCAAAATAGAGCTGGAATCTGTGTTGCCCAGTTTTGTTTAAACTTTAAGCCTCCTATGCATGACTCAAGAATGGTATTCTTGCCATGTCATGTGAAAAAGCAATGAAAGGGTTTTAGGATGGTCAGAGAATTAAAGAGTGGCTTCTCTGAGATGAGTCACGACCTGAGAGCTGCTAGAGGAAAGATGGGACAGCCACCACACCTGCATCCAGAAGCAGCTTGACGATCTCAAAATTGGAGTGGGACACACTGTAGTGGAGAGCGGTGTTCCCATTGCCATCAGCCATGTTGATGATGTAGCGGAGGACATCTGGGGAGACAGCCTCGAAAGCAGTGATATAGTCGCCCACCATGGCTGGCACAGCTGACTTCTGACTGGACACACGGAACCACTCGTGCTGGAGGGTGTTCAGACAGAACCTCTGCCAAAACACCAAACTGCATTAGTTCTTCTGTTTATGGACTTTTCTGAGACCCAGCTGAAATCCCAAGTCACCCGACCTTTTATAGTCAAAGCATGTGCAGTTAGGACCTGCTCTTAAAAGCAGCCTGAAATAACAAACTGCATACATTATATATTCTGATTTCTACAGAAGAGGCCATATGGCAGTACAAGAGCAATGGTTCCACAGCCAAGATTCAAATTTGGGCTTGGCTCCTTAGGCATTAGTGATCTTGGGAAAGTTACTTATTCTGCACCACAGTTTCCATGTCTGAAAAACGGGGATAACACCTCTCTCACAGTGTTTGTGATGAGGATAAAACACTTATGCCTGGGACTGGACGTGTGGCTCAAGTGGTAGAGCAGCTGCTTTGTAAGTGCAAAGACCTGAGTTCAACTCCCAGTCTCACCAAACAAAACAAAACAAAAAAACCCACTTATGCCTGACTTGACTTTTGAGCTATTAATAAGAAATGTTGCTGGCCTTGCAAAAAATTTTCATAGAAATCAAAATGAAGTTGACTAGCCCACCCTTAATGATGCTGCTTTCTTCTGACCCGGACCAACTCCAATTCTTTAACCCCTGCACAGCACTAGGTTGGAAGACCACAGTGTGTAGTCAGGTGAGTCCAACTCCAGTGTCAAATGCGATAGACAGGGAAGTCTTTCTCATTGGGATCACCCACTCTGACTTCCCGGGACTGTGGACCTTGCTTCATGGATGATGCAGTACTGATGACGGCTATAATGCTTTTTACATGGGCCTTCTTTTATATGAATTTACCATTCATGTGTGCTTTGTCTATTCTTTAAAAGCTTAAAAATACATCAAAGAAACATGGAAAGCCTATGTGGAAAGTACCAGCACCCAGGAAGTCCTCTTTCTACTGAAAAGGTAGGGTTGGAATTATGGAAGATTCATCTCTATAATTATCTTCCTGTTAATGATGATTCCATGTTGATCTACTCAATCATATTCTGGGTCACTCAAAAGGGATCCTGACCAGGAAAAGACTAGTCTAATTTTTCTTCTCTTCTATATCTAGATTTCTGTTTCTATGGAGTCATCACCTAGGAAGAAGGGAAATTATATCCTCTAGGCGTCCTATCTCTGTTTCTGCTCAGTAGTTGGTGTTCTGATATAATTATCTGACCCTGGCCTTAGGATTACTCACACATCCACACTTTTCAGAGCACAACACTTTTACAATGAATGAACATTTAACCAACAAAACAATGTATAGTTTACAGAGTATATGAATTGCCTGGCAATTCAGGGGACACAGAAATGTAATGACCACATAATCTACCCAGAGTGGTAAAACAAAAAAACTATATTACAGCAATAAAATCTGGGATCCTAAGGCACCCACTTTAAATGCATGCTACACCTAGTGGGATATGTTGACATTGCAGTGACATTTCATGGTTTTACTATCTGTGTCCACGGTTGAGCCAGGTATTTAGTTTGTACTGACAAATTCCAACCTGCAGTGCTATGTGTTCCCATCTGTAAACAGCACTGTCATGCTCCTTTTTTCAGCACACTAACTGGACGCCAAGATCCAACTGGCTCCAATGAATTTAAGTTTCCATAGCAATGTAAACAAATATTAGAAGACAGCATAAGTTTAAGAAAATGCCATATGATAAAGCAATATGACTTAATTGGAATAAACAAAACACGGATCTGTATCCAAGACAGGGATAATCTAGTTCTACAACTAATAGTTTAATCTAGTCGCTGCCGCTTTAGATGAGTTGCAATCTTCAGGGCCTCAGACATGGGAGATGGGTATGTGCCCTCATGCACTTCCGCCTCTGCTTGTGACACCCATCACCAATTTTAACAGAGTGCCAATTATATTTGTCATACATGAGGAAAACTGCTTTTCTAGGATTAGACAATTCCTTCTAGTTCTGCCATTTTGATTTCACATCTGCATCATCTTGAGGGCCTTCTAAGCTTGCTGACTTAAGTTATTTAGCATAAAATATCACAGAAATTGGCCAACAGGCAAAGATTCAAACATACATTATCGAATTAATGTGAGAGCCACATTTTCTCAGTGCACTGAAGGTAGAGCTGCCAAGAAGAGGGCTGGTCTGGCCTAGGAAAGCAGCTGCACATCCAAACCTCAGGGCATAAGAGAGTGACATATTTGGCAATGGCAAAATATTAACCATTGCCATGGAAATATTTATGTGTGCTAGGTTGTACCATGTGTGGTCACTAAGGCAACCACAGCCTTTGTGCTATTTGCTTCTGAATCTCTCAAATTGAGAAATGACAAGTGCAGTTATTTTTCTGTTTAAAAATAGTGGCTGCCTGCATTCCATATCAGAACATAATATGCACTTTCAGAAAGGAAAGGAATGCTGACTTCAGCCTAGATAGGTTTCTTTAAAAAAACTATGCTTACTTAAAGAAAATTCTGAAAATCCTTGTTTCCAAAAGGTTCTGTGGACATAAGCAGGGCATGTGGAAAAATGACGATTGCCTGCAATTAGTCCTTCCTTCTATCTGCAAGTATTTGCCTCATTGATACCTCCCACCCTAAGCAAAGTACAGAATAGGGAAAGGATATCCCGAGTGGCCTCAAGGAAGCATTCAGTGTGATCCAGAGGGCTGGCAAGCATGATGCTTACTCCGTTGCTTATGCTAGAAACAGCTTGATGGCAGGATACCCATGGTTTGAAAGTGAGGCCAGCTGGGTACTCTGTACAGACTGGCAAGAGGGCCTGTTGGTCAGACTCACCATATCTTTGCTGGTCAAAGCTTTGGGATCATTTATATTACTTTTCAGTAAGTTGCATGCGGACAGCATCTTTTCACTTAATTCATACCTGAAAAGGGGAAAAAATAAGGAGAGCTCAGGATTGCCTACAAAAATTATTATTTCCAACCCTACAGTCCTTTAAAAGGCAAGTGTTCCTAAGCCAGCCTAGGCTGATAGTGATAGCTGGTGGTGTCTCTAGGCATTTGTGATTGATGTCACATACAAAGCCAATACCACCAGCTGGAGCTCGAGGTCTTTTCATATGGGTAAGTTTGGCATTTATGACGTTTTGGATGATGGAATGATACTTGGGAGAATTTTTGCTCCTTTTGTTGTAAGTTTTTTGCTATTGCTTTGCTTTGCTGTGCTGGGGATCAAACCCAGGGCCTCACACATGCTAGGCAAGTTCTTAAAAAGACTTTCACTCTTACAAGATTGAAGAGGTCTCAATTAGCACATAACATCCAGTATGCTGACCAGGACCACACATCTGGACCCACATCTGGGGACTGAAGAAGTGTTTGTTCAATCCATATGAAAAAAATTAAGTCACATGACATGATAAATTGTAGCTCAATAAAGCTGTTTTAAAAAAACCAGATGACATGACATTTCAAATCATTTGAAAACACTTAGAAATATAAAATAGAAACACTTACCTTGCATTAATGCAGTAAATGTTCATTTGTCGAACAGAGGAAAGCTTTCTGAACGGTTCTGTTTATAGTTTACACAGTAAAAAACCATACTCAAGTTTACATCTTTTCTATCCTCTCCTGTTCTATGAGCATCAAGTCCATATTTGCTAATAGTCTCTAAAACATACTGCATTTTTAGGCACCAGAGTATTTGATATTTTATTTCAGCTGCTATTTGTTATTCTCAAATTCTCTGTGGTGTTCCTGACCACCCAATGAGCAACAAAACAGAGACATGTAGCTGCTACACATCATCCTTTCAACGATATGATCTTTGGTTGAGGCTAAACACCTGCTCCTCATGCACACAGCGATCCTATCATAACTACTGACTCCTGCAGCAAGATAAATGACTAAAGACCAAACCTGAAATCTTAAAAGTGTGGTGGTCACCAAAATTTTCAAGTATGCCCTGAAATATAAAGTGAGGTATTCAAACAATGAAAGCTACAGAGGATGGTGGTTCCACATGTGAAATCAGATAGCAAAGACTTAAAGTTTCAGAAAACAAAGGAGAATAGATATAAGCTATTCTCTTTGCTATCCTAAGAGATCTAGGAGAGCCTGTACTCATATTTATTAGCATCTTGACTAGATGTGCACACCACTGAAGGAGTAGACAAGACCAAGCAAAGAGATAAAATTGCAAAATCTCTGAACCTCCAATTCTACTGCCAAAATACACTAAATGTGGGAGGGGTCAGGGGAGGGAAGGGGACGGTACCACACCTCTCTCTGATTTCCACCTTCTCAGGTTCACATTCTTGAACCTGCATTTCATCTTCCACCCTGGCAGACTTGAAACCTTCAATATTAACTGCATGGTGCCCTTCCGCCATTCCCCGAATGTCTTCGTCCTCCTCTTCATCCTCCTCTTCTTCAGGAGGATACTCAAGGACATCACATGCATCATCTGAGTCGGAAGAAGAGCTTTCATCTGAGCTGGAATCATCACTTGAGGTTGTTTCATACCTAGGTGGCAATTGGGATTTCAGGAGATGCAAGGTGTGCCCCCAAAGACTCAGTGACAGAAATTTCTATGAAGGGAAAGCTGCCGACTCATTCCAGAAATCTCCAGTGATTTAGATCCTGCACTTAGAAGTTCAAAGTAAAGTATCTGAATGCCTGGTTGTTTTTGAATGGGTTCTGACTTAGAAGGGACAAACTGAGTTGCCAACTGGTAGCATATACCACTTGTTAAAAAAAAAAAATCAGGGCACCACTGGCTTAGTACAAATCAAGAGGAAGCTCACTTTATGGAAACCAAATCTGCAGGTGCTCATTTTTTTTCTTTCTTTCCTTTTTTCTCTCTCCATTCTTCCTATTTTTCCTCATTCATTCTCCCACTGTCAAGGTGAACAGATTGCATAAGTAACCAACAGTTCCTCTGATGCACGTCCTTTAGAATCCCCTGGGCCACATCACTCCATAAAACTTTTATTATTTGGAAAACAGGCACCATCATGTTAAGTCTGGTGGCCCACTTTGCTATAAATACCCAATTCCACACTGCTGCTTTCTTGTATAGTAATCTGCTAATTGCTTTGATTCAGCTGTAGGAGGATCAACAGGCTTAACTATTTATGTGGGCCAATGGCAAGAGGAGGAACAAATAACTAATGAACACTCTATTGAGAAGGCAAAGAATTGAAGGCCTGGCTAGGTTAGTCTTCAAGTGAAAGGCCTACAATGCAGGAGTGTGTGACTGGGCCACAGAGCACTGCTCTCAGCTGCCTCCTTTTCCCTTCTAAGTTCTAACAGGTTAAGTGTGAGTTGCCCAACACAGTGAAGTAACCCTTCTGCCCACTGCTTTGTGCTGAAGACTATTTTTTTTCAGATCAGAGGTGAGATGTCAATTGCTCAGCTTCATCAGGCATCCTTAAAAAGGATAGGAAGACGATGGAAGAAGAGAAGCCCAAGTGCACCTTTCTGAGGAGGGAATCGCCCATCACCAAGATATACAAGCATCTCAGAATAGACACCTTGAAATGTGACTTAAATAGGTAGGAGACAAAGGAGACAGACAGACGGTGTTGAGCTCTACCACCACCACTGTTCCTTACCCGCCATTAATGCCAACAAACTGAAGATTCTTTTTTGTGCCATTTGAATCTTTGTTCCCATCTTTCTTCTTCATGATGGACTTCAGAGTATTTTCATTATTTGTACATACTGTGAAAAAGTAAACCAAGGTGATCAAAATTAACATAACTTAACCAAGTTAAGTGAATTTGTGATCTTTCTGTGCAATTCTTTTCCCTCCATGTTTGTGAATGTAGATCTTGGCAGGCATATATGAGAAACTTGCACAAAATCCGTTGGAAAAGTGTGCACATGCAAAAAAAAATAATTCCAAGTTCTAATAATAATGTTCTCTAAATGGAAAAATAATCCATTAGGACTTCCAGACATCACAAAACCAATGACAACTGGCATTTGTGTCAAACTTTACTGTTTATAAAGTGATGTCGTGTCTCATTTCATTCTCAAAACAACACTAAGGCAAAAAGACATGGATCGTTACCATATTTTTTCTTCAGCTAAGATAACCTAGAAAAAAATTTATGCCTGCCACAATGTGCAAGACTGAAATGTTGCTTATTTTTTTTTCATAATTTGCCATACCAGATAAATTCCCTTAAAGAGACTGCACAGCTTGCTTTCTCTGGTAACTTTAAAGATATTCTAGGCCTACCTGCCAAACAACTATATAATCTTTCTTCAAGGTCATCTTCTAAGGTACACATCACTCAACCGGGACATGGCAATGCTGACCTAAGTGCTGACATACCATAGAGACCTGCGGCTATCTGGTCATCTGTCAGGTTCGCTGGGCTCAGCATGCTTTCCTGAGAGGGGAAGTTGTCCTGGCTGCTGAAGGGCTTCCCGTCTGTGGTCCCCACCTCGTGTTCAGGCTGGGATGCCTGCATGCTTACCAGCCCTTCTGACTGAAGGCCTCCACACTTACAGGTATGTTCCAAATGATTTCCTGCCCAGAAAGAGAAGGGTATAGAGTATGTGATTCTAGGACCGGACAAAAAGAACTCAAAAAAAGATTCTTTTCTCAGGTGCTTGCTGCTTGTTTTCTTTTTGAATAAATGGCACTTACTTACCTACGCCACCTATTTGTGAACTTCCAAAGCCTCCTTGACTTTTCAACCCTCCTCTTAAAATCACACATCTGGATCTGCCAGATGTTGTCATTCTAGCAACTCCTTTTCTCTCTGCTGGCTTCTCCCATCTTCCCAGGCTCTGGGGGACAGGAGTTGTACCCTGCTGCCCCTCTGGCTCACTGCTGCAGAGTAATCACCCAGCTCTGATATTGTCATGACTTCACTGAGACACAACCTAGAGAACAGCCTTCCTATCGTCATGGCCTAGCCTGATACTCTGACCATCCATGGACTGGCACCAACTCACCTCTCCGCCTTCACTCCCAGTGCTCCTGTGGAATTTTTGGGAACAGGGACTTCATCCCAGTGATGGAACTGCTCTCTGTCTAGAGGGTGGGGGTTCTCATTTCTTGACAGCTGCCTTAGCTTGCTCTCTTGTCCTTCTTCCCATCTCCACATGGCCACACCCCCCCTATCACTCCCTCCTCAGGGCTTTCCTTAATCTCCTCAACTAAAAAACAACTTTCTTTCCTCTGAACACTCAAGCCTATCTTCTGTGCACTCTTCTGGGATCTATAATACAAGGTAGAAGATGGGTTTTGTGACTTTTAGAGTCCCTTCTAGACTGTAAATATTTTGAGGTCATGAAAACAGTTCTGGCCAACTCATCACATCTACTAGACTGCTTCTGCATGTTAGTACTTCATATTTTTGTTCACTGAAGGAGAAAAATTGGGTCAAATAATATTTTATTATTTATACTTACAGGTATACCATAGAATGTTTCAGTGTGGCTGATATGAAAAGATACAATATATGGCTAAATTTTAAAAAGCAAATAAGACCCCATATATTGTATAGTCCTTTTAAAATATAATAATATACATAGGAACATATATTGAAATTTTATCTGGAAGACTCTACCAAAATGAAACAGCTGTGGTGAGTTTTTTTTTTTCCTGAATTTGTCACTATTTCTGTAGTGCATATGGATTAACTATGTTCAAAATCACTCTTAAAGATAATTCTTTGGGGCTGTCGGCACGGCTAAAGTGGTAGAGCACTTGCCTAGCAAGTGTGAGGTCCTGAGTTCAAACCCCAGTTCCACCAAAATAATAATAATAATAATAATAATAATAATAATTCTTTGGCTTAGTAATTTGATATAGAACATACAGAAAAAGATAAAGAAGAACAGTCATTGTTGCCATATTTAAAGCAGTAAAGAGAGGCAGCCACTGTCTGCTCATAAAGAAACTAGTAACTGGGTGGATACACTGATACAGAATTCTGTGCCACCATGAAGTGCGTTGATACAGCAGGATACTTTTTAACAGAGTATAATACATTTAAAAACAGGTTATAAAATAGAATGGAGCAATTTTTAGTAACCATTATCTATCGGTACATATAGTAGAAAAGGTCTTGAAGGATGTTGTACAACATATTATTTATTTAACCTGTTTACACTGCCTCCCCACCCCCACCCCAATACTGGGGATTGAATTTGAGATGGAACCACTAGGCAAGTGCTCTACCACTGAACCTCACCCATTTCACACTGAGTTTTTAAGGCCAAAGAATTATAGCTTGTTACAATCTTTTTGTGTCTGCTATTTTCTTTCCTTTAAATTTTTTTGTTTGTTTGTTTTTGAGGCAGGGTCTCCCTATCTAGTTCAGCCTGGTATGGAACTCACAATCCTTCTACCATAACCTCCTCAGTGCTGGGATTATAGGTGTGAACTGCCACGCCTGACTTTATTTTATAAGGTATTATATTTATGATACCTTATAAATATAAGGTATTAACACAAATAAAACATTTAAATCTACTTATAATAGTATCAGATGATAAGAATTTTATCATGGTTTTATCTTTTTTTTTCCTGGGGTTTGAACTTAGGGCTTTGTGCTTGTAGAGCAGGCGCTCTACCACTTGAGCCACACCTCCAGTCAATTTGCTCTGTTTATTTTGGAGATGGGATCTTGTGGACTATTTGCCCAGACTGGCCTCAAACAACAATCCTTCCAATATCAGCCTCTCATGTAGCTAGGATTACTGGCATGAGCCATCAGCATCCAGCCAGTTTTCTCTTTTAAAGTTTTGAAAGATCTCTTGGGTCTTTAGAAAAAAAGCAATTTAATCACCGTATTTTGAAGCAATCTGAAGAAAAAGAAATCATGATTAAACCTAAAGCTGTTTGAAGTTCTACAGTTCCTAATAATCACCTGGAATGTTTGCTAAAATGCAATTCCCAGACACCTGCTACCAGAAAAATCATTCTGTAAGTCTGAATGGGGGTCTGGCGATGACCATGTTTGACACCCTCAACCACAAGAAGTACTAATGCAGGTGGCCCCCCTCTGACTTGAAACAATGACACTGTAATAGGAAAGAGTAGAGGCAGATATAATATCCAAAATGAAACATCAGAGATCACCTACACTTAATGCTTATATTTCCAGCTATGAACTCTGAAGGTTACTGAGGTCTGAACACTTGCTCAGGCTCAGGGCTGGACTAGACTCACCTTTCCTTGTTTTGTGCATAGCCCTTTGTCCACTAATCAGCAGTGCAATGCTCCCTCCTCCATATCTGCAGGCTGGGGGTCCCCAGCTGTTTCCATCACAAAGCCACCTGCCTCAATACCCTACTGCATGTGCCCTCCACACAATACTTAATGCCCCGTGACCTGATGTATCCCTGATTGCAAATAAGAAATGTCCAGCCCACCTGTGACTTACTGTAAGCAAAATAAACAGAGCAGCACATTTATCTTCATTTCCTCCTCCCCCACTTCCATTCATCATTACTTTGAAATTGCTGCATAACCTCTAAAAGGTCTTACTAGCTAATTCCTGAGTGCCAGAACACTGTTCCTACAGAAACACACTCACGGACCATTTTCCTGTTCAAGAACCAACAATTGTCTTTTTGATGCAAATGCATTGTTTAAACCATTACTGAAACCTTAAACAGACACAAAAGTAGATGATAGCAGAGTCATCCAGTACTTCAAGACGGGGATGTGTTCCGAGAAATGCATCCTTAGATGATTTGTAGTTGTGTGAATATCCCATTGTGCTGCACTTCCACAAACTAAAATGGCTGTGACGTCACTAGGAGATGCACTCTGTGGGACTGCCGTGGGGTGGCAGTCCATTGCTGATGGAAGCACAATTACACAGTGTGCAACTGTATAATCAACCTCTTTGTTCCCAATGCTAGCTTCAACCATAGTCAGACATACCTAGTTTTATATTTGTCCCTCCATCTGAATTATTGTTATCTTCATCCATACATTTCATTATATATCCCTAAAAGAAAGAGCCCATTGAACACAAACACATGAGCCAATAAACACTAAAAGCTGTCAAATTTGAAAAGATAATTCCATATGATCACCAGATATCCAGTCAGCATTTTAATTTCGCCATGGTCTCTAAAAAACAAAACAAAAAAACCCCACAACTTTCTACAGGGTATGAGAATCCTAGTCATATATTTCCATTGGTTGCTACAGTTTTTAGGTCTTTTTATCCATTAACTTTCTATCTTTCTAATTAAAGAAAAATATTTTAAAATTAGGGGCTGGTGGTAGAGTGGTAGAGTATGTGTAAGGCCTTGAGTTTGATCCCCAGCACCCCCAAAAAATGTGTGTATGTATTTTTAAAGGTATGTTTTATATATAGCAAAATTCACACATTTTAAGTGTATACTTGGATGAGTTTCAGTAAATACCTGTGATACTATCTAAGATGCAGAACATTCCAGTAAAAAAGCCAGTAAACGCCCTCTCCAACCAAAGGCACCAATGCCCTGACTCCTCTCACCAGAGCTTAGTTTTGTAAACTAAGACTTTTTAAAGCTTCCACACTCATGGTCCATCCCTTCACGAGGCCTGAGAGGGTCCAACTTCTTGCCACTGGTAGGAGTTGTCCTGCTAAACTACACCACCCACCACTGTGTTCAGGGGCCCTTCGACTTCATTCTTCCCGGTCCCATGTCTTTCAGTAGTAGCCCATGCATCAGACATGGAATTTCAGCAAACTTCACATTGAGTTCTACCTATGCTCTTTGCAAGGCTTGGCCCCAATCTCCGCTATAGTCTTTTTCTAGCATACATTTTAGAAATCTCTTTGTCCGTCATTGCCCGGCAACACTTGCACTTACTGTCCAGACTTAAATATGCCCTGCCCCCCTTACCCCCACTGTTTTCTCAGCTTCAAGTGTCCCCTCTGTGGGAATGTGAGCTCCTGAGCCCCTGCTAGCTGTGTTATTTGGTGTCCTCTCCAGTGCTTAGAACAGTGCTGGACAATAGAAGGCCTTTAGAATCATCAGAATAAGGAGTAGGACTTTAAAAAAAAATACAGAAAAACTGAACTATCTGCTGGTGGGTCCAGGCATTTGTATTTTTCTTCTCCCTTCTTGGGAGGTACTGGAGTTTGAACTCAGGGTCTCACACTTGCTAGGCAGGCACTCTACTACTTAAGCCACACTTCCAGCCCTGATTGGTATTTTGCAGGTGATTTGCAGCTAGGATTGAGAGCCACTGAATTAAATTAAGCAAAATAAAACATGACTGCAGAAAATTAAGCACAGACTACCCTGTGGTCTCAACTCATCAACTTGGAAACTTGGACCCATGTTTTTAGAAATCACTGGTGGCTTAATTGACAGCCCTGGACCACCGATGGCTGATGTTCATAGTGAACACCAAATGCTACCCAAACAACAGTGATAAAACACCAGCAGTGATTCAAAAACACCCTGAGAGTTCTGGCCCTCTGGCTTAGGTGCTCAAGATTCCCACCAGGTGGCATCCCCAGCAAGTTAACAAGAGAGTAGGCAACCGTGAAAATTCTGTCTTGGTCG